GCAAATCTTTCCTTGTCATAAGCATCTACTAGGTAAACCACTGCATCCACCTTTGCAGAACAAAGACAAAATGGATTTACCAAGGATGAACATAAAGAGAACATAATATTAAGCAGCAAGGCAAAACCAGCATAACTTGAAATAAACCATCAAATACTTATTAGCAGAAATACCATTCTTTCTTAGGCAACAAGTCAAATCCCAAAAATCTGTCCAATTAAAGGTTCCAAAAGATGGTCAAGTACATAACAATCAGATATCCTCTGCGAATGACCTGTTTCAGAGCCGTTACATCTATGCTCTAACAACTTAGAAACAGATCCTTCGATGCATCTAAGTCATTCATATTCCAATGGCTCAAAAACTAAGCTCTATCTGAGGACCTTATTCGAGAATAACCGTTATATAACATACCTAACTACATCTTCCAGGTTCTACTATTTAAAAAATAGAATCCTTAAACGGGTCAAAAAGAAACAAGGTGATTTCGAAACATAGTCATCGAGGACAAAGGTTTATTCCCACTTCTGATAAGAAATCTGTTTGTAGTTAACCAGTTATTAATCCAGATAAAGAAAATTGCAACGTAAGGATGTATGGTAAGGTACTATTAGCATACCTTCTAAAGACAGAAGGTGCTATCAGCGAACTACCATTACTTATATCTGCCTCCCATGAATCAGATAAACACTAAAAACTTTTATCTGGGATTATGGAGGCACAAACATCCCCAGACTTAATCCCATGCAGTCAGGGACTTTGAATCTTTCCTTCAGAAATCACTATTGCCAAATACAAGAACAAAGCTTCTCATTGAGCATGCTAAAGCTCAAACAGTTCATATGTGCAAAAACCAGTTGCCGTATAACAGGTATATCAACGTAACCTCTTACATTATATCATCAACAATACCTTGGCATAGTAATCTTTCCAAACTCTGCGAGCAATCTGATGTCCACCCAAATCAAAAGCCTTGAACTTGATTTTCCCAATGCTTAACTCTTCTGATGTCGGATACTGCGTCGGCTGGTGTTGAACTAATCTCTGCAATAATCCATCACCACCAAGACCCAGAATCAGAAAATCAAATTCCATCCTAATTATCACAAAAATATCAAAGCAAGTGACAAGAGTAAATTTGTTTCTTCCTTTTTCTTTTTTTTTTCATACAAAAGTACTACAATTTGAGTAAGTCGATACTGTCTTAAACTACTTCATCATTCAATAATTTTCAGTGTAGGCTCTGATCCTACACAAAATCATAGGAATTACAGATAATCATAAAAAGTTCAGGTCAAGCTCAAATCCTTTCTTCAATTCTATAAGAATTAACAACTATACTCTCAAAACTATTAAGTTGGTCAATCTTTTCGTTTCCTTCACTTTCCGAGCAATCAAAAAGACCCCGCATTGATTAAAAGCAAATAAAGAATAAAAATTTCAATTGAAATCGAAATACCAATAATTCCGAAAGACCATCGAAGCATTGAAAAATCATAACCTTCACCGCATTCAAAAGCACCAAAAACCCAAAAACATTCGTACACGAATTATGAAGGGAATAGAAACGAAAGAAAAACCTCATCTTTGAGCATATGAAGTAACGTGGTTTTGCCAGCATTGTCGAGACCCAAAAACAAGATCTTGGCCTCCTTCTGCCACAAGCCGAGCGATGCAAGAACCCCATAGAACCAATCGAACAAGAACATTGTATTTCACCCCAAAAATTGTCAGATCGAAAGCCACCCCAAAATCAGGGAGACAGAGAAATCTATCTCTGTGATGTTGTAGCAATCTATATGTTCCTTTCTTTAATCTGATGTAGTATTTATGTGGAAGTCTTACTGGGTTTTTTTGAAATGACCAATCGAACGGCTGAGGATGAGGTTCTGACGCAATTGGGCAATTTTGCACCGTCAGATATGAAATTACGAACAGCTGAGATCTGATTTTTTATTTATTTTAATTTTCAATTTTAGCTATGTTGGTCGGTGGGGATTGTTTTTCTGTTTTATGGCAATTTTATCCTTTTTGGAAACTTGGAGGCTAGAAAAAGAAAATTTGGCAAGTACTTTTGAGTTTAGCGATATCTATGATACTGAGCTTCACAGATTGGGTTGCATTTGTAGCTTTTTTCTTTTTTTCAGAAGGATGTGTCTTGATTCACGGTATATTTTATGAGCTAGATGAACTTTCAAAGCCTACTCTATTTCTCACTTGAAACGTATTTAGGAGAAATTCGGATCACAAGTTTAAAACCTCTATATTTTGGTACTACTCAGGGCATGTTTACGTATCAGTAATTGAGAAAGTAAGGAATCAGAGAATTTAGGAATTGGGGAACTACTGAATCGGTATGAGAATAATCATTCTCATTAAGTTGTTTACTAAACATAAGGAATTAGCAAATGAATGAGATTGATTCTCATTGTTATTGTTTACTAATTTGCATGAATCAGAATCCAAATTAATTTGATTACTAAAATGTCCTGCACATTTTCACCACAGCAGGTATATAATTCTTAAATTGACTAACAAGACCAAACTAATCCTGTAGCAAACTAATAAGGCGGTGTAAACATGAGGAATCAATATGATGAACAAGATGAACAACATGAGCTTAGTTCAATGATATAATGTTAATAACACCTTTGTCCATAGCCAATTTCTAACGAAAAAATAAACTCCAATAAATATATATCTTTCACCTACGTAACTAGTAAACAATTAAATAATAATAACTATACATAATCTTCATACTACCAAAAAAGAGATATATAATCTCCACAAAAGTCTTTATCCATGACCGTACTTTGTTTTGTGATGAATGTGAAGACAGAAAATAGAAGAAGAAGAAGAAGATAGATAGATAGATAGATAGAATGACTTTCATAGCACAAGGCTTTGCTGCTGCTTCTGAGAGGTTGTGTCTACAACGCTAAGGTGAAAAAGAAGTTGGAGTGTCTTGGAACTTCTTGGCGTGAGTTTTTATGTTTTTAAGGATTTGGGGTGTTTTAACATTATGGTATAGTGGTAAGGGTATTTTGGAAGTTATTAAGAGAAAACATGAATTGGAATCGTATCGACTACTCCCCCTAGTTGAAACACCCAAAATGAGGGTTGAAATTATAAAAAAACCCAAGCACTATTTAAACATATAAACACACCCAAAACTCATCATTACACACACTCAAAACTCATTTATAAACACACCCAAAAAGTTGACTTTGGGGTTGATTTTGGGTGTGTTTCTATGTTTAAATAGTGCTTGGGTTTTTTTATAAATACATGTCTAGGATTGGGTTTATTTATAAATTTGTATATTTTTTAATTCCTGATTGCAAGTAAACGCAAAGGAAGTCAGGAATGGAAATCATTCCCTTTCCTCTCATACCCATTACTGATACGTAAATATGCCCTCAACCTCATTCGTAATTCCACGTTGGTGAGTGTGATGTCGTATACGACATGTGCACAAAAGAACCGTTCTTCATATAGAGTCGTCATGAAAAATGGTTCTCTTGCAATGTTAAAATATAAGACACTTCTTACAAGAGACATATATTTTATATGAAGTGACGCGAAGTGTCTAACAAGAAAAGAAGGAGCAAATATTCATAAGTTACAAGTTTAGGCCATGCTCTTCTTTCTTTTTCTTTTTTTTCTTAAGTATAATTTTAGTTTGTTAAACCGTTATCTATATATATAAAGCAAAAGGCAGAGAATGGTGAAACATTCAAAATATCAGAAAATGCTCTTGGTTAATTCAAACATTAAGAATTGAAATTATTAATTAAATGAGGATAATATGATAAATTCATTTTTTTCATATTAAAAAATTAAAATTAAAAACAAAATCAGATAATAGGTCCTACTTTTTATAGAACATAAATATCCATGTTATCTTTTCTTAATTTTAAAAATAAAATAAAATAAAAAAGAAAACCAATTGGCAGGAACTAGTTATAATGTAAGCAGCATATATACATTAAAAAGTAGATGCCATTTTGTTGTTTTTTTTATTGGGGTTTAGGGAATCTGTGGCCACATGTGGAGCCTCTGCCTAACATACACCTAGTTAGGGTTCCATGATTCCATATCATCTTTAGAGGCACCTTGCAATGCAGATTATGCGAGTTCCCATTAACAAGACTTGTCATTTTTTTTTCTTCTTCTAATTTTAGTTAACATTCCTTTCTTGTTCTAGACTTTGAACATTCTTCACCTTTAACTTGGTCTTTTCTTGTGTGCACACCTCAACTTTCATACTGCACGTAATCTCTCTGCCCTCTTCTTTTTACATCCATTGGGTACAATATTCTACAATCAACATATTTAATCATCCCATCATTGAAGAGACAGATGCAGACTTCTAGCTTCCTGCTGTAATTGACAACTGGGGATTCACTAATGGAATACAATATCTTAAGCACAATTTCTCATTTTAAAAAAAGCGATATTGAGGAAAAAAAGATATGAACACATGAAATCGTATGAAATCACATGACAGCGTAATTTCGAACACATAGAAACTAGTAAATTCAAAAGTTGTTACACTCATGTGTATGAATTTACAACTCAACTTAGGCTTATGATATAATCATTGTGTTTTATTAATTTGTTAAATGTAACTTCTGTCATTGAAAAAAGTATACAAATTTTAAAATCAAGCACAGAATATTTCATTATGTTGGGTACTTTCTTTGGTATTTTTTTTATAAAAAAGAAAAAAAAGAAAAAAAAAAGCGGACTGGTTTTGGATCAAAATTTGACCTTAGTGTCAAGTTAAGCAGATATTATATTGATAGCTGGAAGCTTATCTTATCTCAAGAAGTCAGATAATCTTCAAAGCAGACAAAGAAAACAGGCCCACAGTCTTCAAAACCACTAACCCAAAGAGCCCAAACCCACAAACCGCCAACAGGAAACATTTCATTGCAACCAGCCAGTTTCATTTCCATTTTCCCACCCACCGTTTTACTATAAATACCCACTGCACCTCCTTTGTCTTTCAACTCTCTCTCCAAAAAACCACTTCCAAAGACACACAAACAAAGTGGTTTTCAACCGTCCGATCACTTACTAATGGCTGACGTGGCAGAAAGCGAGCGGAGGATCCTCGTGGCCGTCGATGAAGGAGAGGAGAGCATGCATGCTCTCTCTTGGTGCCTCAAGAACGTTGTTTCTCAGAATTCCAAAGATACCCTTATCCTACTCTACGCCAAGCCCCCGAGAGCAGTGTACACGGCTCTAGATGGCACAGGTAGGAGAGAGGATCCATCAGGTATTTTGTCGCGATTTTTGAGGTTATTTTGGGAATAGGAAGAGATTCAGTGGTGTTTTTGGGTAATTTTGTTTGTGATCCAGGGTATTTGTTTTCCTCGGATATTTTGGCGGCGATGGAGAAGTACGGCGCTGAGGTGGCGGCCTGCGTGCTCG